GAAATAAGTATTTGACCCCCCTCTGCAAAACATGACTTAGTACTTGGTGGCAAAACCCTTGTTGGCAATCACAGAGGTCAGACGTTTCTTGTAGTTGGCCACCAGGTTTGCACACATCTCAGGAGGGATTTTGTCCCACCACTCCTCTTTGCAGATCTTCTCCAAGTCATTAAGGTTTCGAGGCTGACGTTTGGCAACTCGAACCTTCAGCTCCCTCCACAGATTTTCTATGGGATTAAGGTCTGGAGACTGGCTAGGCCACTCCAGGACCTTAATGTGCTTCTTCTTGAGCCACTCCTTTGTTGCCTTGGCCGTGTGTTTTGGGTCATTGCCATGCTGCAATACCCATCCACGACCCATTTTCAGTGCCCTGGCTGAGGGAAGGAGGTTCTCACCCAAGATTTTACGGTACATGGCCCCGTCCATCGTCCCTTTGATGCGGTGAAGTTGTCCTGTCCCCTTAGCAGAAAAACACCCCAAAAACATGTTTCCACCTCCATATTTGATGGTGGGGATGGTGTTCTTGGGGTCATAGGCAGCATTCCTCCTCCAAACACGGCGAGTTGAGTTGATGCCAAAGAGCTCCATTTTGGTCTCATCTGACCACAACACTTTCACCCAGTTGTCCTCTGAATCATTCAGATGTTCATTGGCAAACTTCAGACGGGCATGTATATGTGCTTTTTGAGCAGGGGGACCTTGCGGGCGCTGCAGGATTTCAATCCTTCACGGCGTAGTGTGTTACCAACTGTTTTCTTGGTGACTATGGTCCCAGCTGCCTTGTGTAGTTCTGGGCTGATTCCTCACCGTTCTCATGATCATTGCAACTCCACGAGGTGAGATCTTGCATGGAGCCCTAAGCCGAGGGACATTGGCAGTTCTTGTGTGTTTCTTCCATTTACGAATAATCTCACCAACTGTTGTCACCTTCTCACCGAGCTGCTTGGCGATGGTCTTGTAGCCCATTCCAGCCTTAACTGGGTCTACAATCTTGTCCCTGACATCCTTGGAGAGCTCTTTGGTCTTAGCCATGGTGGAGAGTTTGGAATCTGATTGATTGCTTCTGTGAACAGGTGTCTTTTATACAGGTAACAAGCTAAGATTAGGAGCACTCCCTTTAAGAGTGTGCTCCTAATCTTAACTCGTTACCTGTATAAAAGACACCTGGGAGACAGAAATCTTTCTGATTGAGAGGGGGTCAAATACTTATTTCCGTCATTAAAATGCAAATCAATTTATAACATTTTTGACATGCGTTTTTTTTTATTTTTAGTTGTTATTCTGTCTCTCACTGTTCAAATAAACTTACCATTAAAATTATAGACTGATCATTTCTTTGTCTTTCTTTCTTTCTGTTGGATCTATGCCCTGTTTTCCGTTATTAATATTAAGAATAATTAAGAAAAATTTGTTTTTTGTTTTTATTATATCTATATATATATTTTTTTTAATAATGAGGACGGCTCACTTCTCCTCACGGGCACACCGGGAGTCCATGAGACATGGAGGGCGGTTGAAATGATAGGAATTCGGTCACGAAGAGGTCATAGACATCCAGATGGACAAAAGATGTATGGACTAACCTCCCAAAGACATCTGGAGATGTACAGATAAGGTGCAGAGCAAACAACGGTTGAAACTCGCGTTTTCTTAACGTTTTCCTTACCGAAAAGTAGAAACTTAACATAGATAATTAACCAACAAACAATAATTTTATTATTAGTAATTCCCTTATATTCACCGCATACATATTATTTAGAAGTATATGTTTCCTATCTACACGACCTTCCGAAAAACTAAAGAGTACGAATTCCAGAAAGCTTAAGTGCATGTGCACTTAACCTCAGGACATAAAAAAATTTACTCAGAATAAAACACCAATCTCTGGAGAACTAAACTGGGCGAAGCCCCAAAATAATAATGTGACGAGGAGCATTACGAATATTCATTAAACATAGACGAATGATAACCACGATACTAAGACCGAAGGAACTCATAAAAAATAATTCAAGAATAAATGTAACACACAGGACCACATAAATGTATTGCAAACATCTCCTCGACCACCTTTGTCTTCCAGCGGGGTCTGACAAGCAAGGAGGGAGTAAAAAGGTCACAAAGGGGGGGGGTTTGTGCTGACATTGGTTGTTTTCTCTCGCAAGAGACGCGGAGAGAGGAGTGGATGCTCGCGTGTTTGAGTTAAGCACGGCCGCCTTTGTCTCCCCGCAGCACAAACAGATGGCCCAGGAATGCTTGGAGGGTTAGGAAAAGGTCACGAGGAGGGATCGCGCCGGTGTCTGCTTCTTCTCGCTGTTTGTGTTTTTTTTTTGGTTGCCCGCTCGCAAGGAATGCAGAGAGAAGGGAGTCACGTTTTAAGTTAGACAGGCACACAGCGAACGAGCAGTCTGGGTTGAGTCGTGCTCAGTCTCGCAACTCGGCGTGCGACGCAGCGTTGCGACGGGGCTCGCAAGAGAGTTCGGGCAGATCGTGCCTCGAGGAGAGATGGAATGACGAGACATCGTTAAAGTGACAGTCTGAGAGCAGTCGAGTTGGAGTCGAGCTCAGCGTTGCGACGGGGCACGCAAGAGAGCGGAGGCGCGTCGTGCCTCGAGGAGAGATGGAACGACGAGACATCGTTAAAGTGACAGTCTGAGAGCAGTCTGTTCGAGTCGCGCTCAGTTTCGCAACTCGGCTTGCGACGCAGCGTTGCGACGGGGGCTCGCAAGAGAGCTGGGGCGGTTGTGCCTCGAGAAGTGATGGAACGAGGAGGAGTCGTTCGAGTCGCAGAAGTCTGAGTTCAACCTGGGTCGGGGCTGGGTTTCAGCCGTGCTCCGGCTGGTGGAGCGTCGTGAGGACACGAAACACCGATGCCGATAGCCGGAGTCGCTTCTCGCAGAACGAAGTTAAGTGCGAGTGAAGCCGGCCGCTGCACGAACAAGGGAAGCACGGAGCAGAGAGAGTGACTAGTGACGACAAGCAATCAACCTGTAAAAGGGTGGAGATCGCCAAGCGTCGACCAAGCGAGCAAAGCAGAGAGCGCGAAGCAGTGGAGGAAGCCTGGTCAAACGGCTGCGAGGGAGAGGACAGCGCCATCGAATGCGCCGTGTGCCTGAGGGCACACCGACCAACGACCAGTGTGAACACACAAGACGTCCAGAGCGACGGCGAGCATCGTGCCGACTCAACAATCAATCGAGCAGTGGAGAAGCCGGGGGCTGCCACCAAGAAAGCGCGTGCGCCACCTTGCGCCACCGTGCACCACCTTGCGCCACCGTGCGCCACCTTGCGCCACCGTGCGCCACCGTGCGCCACTGTAAATATTTATGCAGTTTTTCTTTTTTTTTTAAATCCTTTATATTAAGTTCACTTGCTTGCTTGCTTGCTTACGACTGTGCAAATCTTTCGGTCGTTTTTTAACCCACTTCCCGTGATCCAATCGAGCTGACATTTTGCACACAGACTCGTTGTGCGTGACAATTAATTTTCGTGAAATTTTTTTTCCAAATTTTTACACTTTTTATGATTTTTTTTATATTTAATTACCAATTGCTTAATGGTGCCATGCAATCATCTGACCCATAGGTGGCAGCCATCTCAAGCCAGAGGACGAGAGGACTCTAGCCGCCACGCATATAAAGGATTTATAGTGAAAAACTTTGTTTTTACGGGTGTACTTGTTACCGGGCCAAGCCCGCTTGAGCTGCTCTACCGCTCTTGTTTTCAGAAGCGACCTGCCCACAACGCACGGTGAGGCTTTGTGAACTTGTGTGTGAATGTTTTGACTTGAAACTTTCGTGACTGCAGGAATTCATATATCTTGGTTCTTTCAGTGAAGTCACTTAGATAGAAAATTAAATAAAAATAACAGATAATAAAATAAAAATTAGAAAATTGTAAATAAAGAAAAAAAACCCACGACGTTTCGATTGCAACACAAGTGGCATTTATTTGATTTTATTATCTATTATTGATATTTTCTATCTACGTAACTTTACCGAAAGAACCAAGAATACGTGTGGAAATGTGTATCGGTCAAAGACGCTAAAATCGTGCTGATGTTCACTCTAAATGTGGAGGGCAAACCCGGGGAATCCGAGGAAAATCCACGCGACCACGGAGAGAGAGACACGCACGCAAACTCCAAATATACAGCAGCTGGCGTCAGGGCCGGGTTTGAACCCACGACTTCCTGCATACCAGGTGAGGTAGTTAACATCTCACCACGGAGAGAGAGAGACACACAAACTCCAGTTAGCCTCGGCTATGTTGATTGATCCTCAATTAATTACTTGGTGGAGTGAGGAATCATTAATGGTGATCAGATGAAGGTGGCCAGGCATGGTTCTGGTCAAACCATCCCCTGTTTACCCATGGCAGTGTGTGACAGTGTAAAGTTTGTGTTTGCAGTAAAGTCTATTAACTCTGTTGAACACGGAGGTTATATCAGAACAATAGTTTATTTTTGTTTACCTCTGGAACTCTTTGTAAGAATGGAAACAGGAAGTGAACACAGCACACACGTACAGCTGAAAGTCGGATCTGTTCATCCCAGCCTTCAAGGACATCTGAGCCTGGACTCACACCTGAGTTGCGATTGAACATGAATTTATGCATTTCTGCATAACACAAATAGAATTGTTTTAACACCTTTTGCTATGTCAGCTGAATTTAGCTTTATAAATATTCCTTTTGTAGCCAGACAGCCGAAATTGTGTGCTCGGAGTTTTGGGTTAACATTCATTTTTAAGATACGAGGGCTTCTAGGCATATGTATGACCATTTGATCTCTCTTTGTGTGCAATAACAGCGCGTGTGATGAATATTGGGAAACTGTTTCACTACATCATGAATATATGAATAAGTATAGACGTGTAAGTCACATGTGACTGTATATATGCATTCCTCCGTGCCACGTTACGGACTTGATGATGGTGTGGATGTTCCTATTATCTGTCTGCAGCTGACGCTTCCTCTGACGCTTCCTCTGCAGAATTGGTCTAATGGAGCAAAGGCAGTCAGCACAGCTCGGTACGGCAAGACAACAATGCGACCAGAGTGCATACAGCACGGATTGCACTGGAAATTTGACACAGCACCAGAGAACTCGCACAGGAGAGAAACCCTTCAAGTGCACTGTGTGTGGGAAGGCCTTTGCATGGCAATCAGTTTTTCAGACCCACCAGAGAGCACACACAGGAGAGAAACCCTTCAAGTGCAGTGTGTGTGGGAAAGCGTTTGCACATTCATCTGCTCTAGTAAGACATCAGAGAACACACACGGGAGAGAAACTCTTCAAGTGCACTGCGTGTGGGAAGGCATTTTCACGGTCATCTTCTCTTAAAGAACATCAGAGAACACACACAGGAGAGAAACCCTGCAGGTGCATTCTGTGCGGGAAGGCATTTGCAAAGTCACAACATCTTCAAAGACACCAGAGAACACACACGGGAGAGAAACCCTTCAAGTGCAGTGTGTGTGGGAAGGGATTTTCACAGTCATATATTCTTGTAACACACCAGAGAACGCACACGGGAGTGAAACCCTTCAGGTGCACAATTTGCGGGAAGGCATTTGCACATTCATCTGTTGTTCAGACCCACCAGAGAACACACACAGGGGAGAAACCCTTCAAGTGCACTGTGTGTGGGAAGGCATTTTCACTGTCATCTGTTCTTAAAAAACACAAGAGAACACACACAGGAGAGAAACCCTTCAAGTGCACTGCGTGTGGGAAGGCATTTTCACAGTCATCTACTCTTGTAAGACACCAGAGAACACACACAGGAGAGAAACCCTGCAGGTGCATTCTGTGCGGGAAGGCGTTTGCACGGTCACAATATCTTCAAAGACACGAGAGAACACACACAGGAGAGAAACCCTTCAAGTGCAGTGTGTGTGGCAAAGCGTTTACACATTCATCTACTCTTGTAAGACACCAGAGAACACACACGGAAGAGAAACCCTTCAAGTGCACTGTGTGTGGGAAGGCATTTTCACAGTCACATGTTCTTAAAAAACACCAGAGAACACACACAGGCGAGAAACCCTTCAAGAGCAGTGTGTGTGGGAAGGCATTTTCACAGTCATCTTCTCTTATAAAACACCAGAGAACACACACAGGAGAGAAACCCTTCAAGTGCATTCTGTGCGGGAAGGCGTTTGCACGGTCACAACATCTTCAAAGACACGAGAGAACACACACAGGAGAGAAACCCTTCAAGTGCATTCTGTGCGGTAAGGCGTTTGCACGGTCACAACATCTTCAAAGACACGAGAGAACACACACAGGAGAGAAACCTTTCAAGTGCAGTGTGTGTGGGAAAGCGTTTGCACATTCATCTACTCTTGTAAGACACCAGAGAACACACACGGGAGAGAAACCCTTCAAGTGCAGTGTGTGTGGGAAAGCGTTTGCACATTCATCTACTCTTGTAAGACACCAGAGAACACACACGGGAGAGAAACCCTTCAGGTGCACTTTGCGGGAAGGCGTTTGCACATTCATAAAATCTTCATCTACACCAGAAAACGCATAAGCATCAGAAGATCTGCAAGGAGTGGAGTCTGAAATTGGCTTGTGAGCCCATCCCTCGTGAAACAAGAACTGAAGGAAAATCCCAGATTTGACACTTAAAGGAATCGAGGTGAAATGTGAAGAGGTGATGGTGAAGAGCGAAGAAGTGAAGAGTTGAACACTCAGTTCCTAGGTTCAACCTGCAGAGTAAGAGCGAGCGGCCAGTCTTTGTGGACCTGTGGGCTGGATAGATCCCTGATCAGAAGCGAGAACGACCGCTTGTCTTACGATCGAAACTTTGTGATCTATTTTTTTTTTCTACCTACGTGACATTACCGAAAGAACCAAAGAGTATGTGATTTAGGAATAAAATGTAAAATTATTTAAAATAAAATATATACGCCTGCAAAGAGACTGGAGGCTGAATCTAACAACTTAGACCACTCAACCACTACGCACAGGATGCCCTTGGCGACCAAAGCCCCCTTGATTTCACCAACGCCGGCCTTTTCCCGCCGGCGGTTTGTACAGCACGATAATTTTTAGATATTAAGAAAAAGGTTTAAAGTACATTTTATTGCATTTCTTGAGGGAAATTAGCCCCCCTTTTGCCTCACAAAGTGAGTGCAAACCTCACCGATCGTGTGTTTTAGTTTGTTTACGTTATTTTGCCGCTTGAAATTTCCACGTGAATCAGCGATGATGTTGATGATGATATCGGCCACTTTGTTAAGCTGGTATCATTTGAGATAGCCAGGTCTATACTACACATGACACTATACACTACACTGAACTACACTACACTATACACTACACTATTATACACTACTGTACATTACACTACTATACACTACACTATACACTACGTACACTACGATACACTACACTATACACTATATACTACACATGACACTACACTACGCTAAACTACACTATACACTACACTATTATACACTACTGTACACTACACTACTATACACTACACTACTATACACTACACTATACACTACTATGCACTACACTACTATACACTACACTATACACTACACTATACACTACACTACTATATACTACACTATACACTACACTATACACTACTATACACTACACTATGCACTACTATGCATTACACTACTATACACTACACTATACACTACTATGCACTACACTAGTATACACTACACTACTATATACTACACTATACACTACACTATGCACTACACTATACACTACTATACACAGCTTCAAATCGCCATTTAAGTTTCCTGTTGCGAGTTTAACGCCGAGTTATTCACAAATAAAGGTCTTCTCTTTGGGGGGTCAGATCTCGCGTGAGTTGTGGATGTGTCGTTGAGCCCCCCGCCACCCACCCGGTATCAGCCAGCAAGGTTGTGTCACGGAGACGAAACGTGGTGCCGATTGGTGACTACGTCAGCCCCCAGTGTGTTTGAGAGAACTATTGTGATGTCGGCAGCTGTTGACTAATCGCCTCCAGCCGAGGCACAGACGATGCGACTACCACTAGTACTGCACGTACCACTAGTACCACACGTACCACTAGTACCACACGTACCACTACTACCACACGTACCACTACTACCGCACGTACTACTACCACACGTACCACTACTACCACACGTACCACTAGTACCACACGTACCACTAGTACCACACGTACCACAACTACCACACTTACCACTACTACCACTACTACCGCACGTACCACTACTACCACACGTACCACTACTACCGCACGTACCACTAGTACCACACGTACCACTAGTACCACATGTACCACTACTACCGCACGTACTACTACCACACGTACCACTACTACCGCACGTACTACTACCACACGTACCACTAGTACCACACGTACCACTAGTACCACACGTACCACAACTACCACACTTACCACTACTACCACTACTACCGCAGGTACCACTACTACCACTACTACCACTAGTACCACACGTACCACACGTACCACTAGTACCACTAGTACCACTACTACCACTAGTACCACACGTACCACTAGTACCACACGTACCACTAGTACCACTAGTACCACTACTACCACACGTACCACTACTACCACTACTACCACACGTACCACTACTACCACACGTACCACTACTACCACACGTGCCACTAGTAGTAGCAGTAGTACTACAACTAGTAGTGATCCTACTAGTACCGCTTGTACTAACACTACAACTAGTACTACTACAATGTCTACTACGACTAGTACTACCAGTAGTACTGCTAGTACGACTACTGCACTACTACCAGTACTACAGCTACTACCAATACTACTACCAGTACTACCGGTACTACTGCCAGTACTACAGCTACTACCAGTACTAATACCAGTACTACTACCAGTACTACAACTACTACCAGTACTACTACCAGTACTACCGGTACTACTGCCAGTACTACAACTACTACCAGTACTACAACTACTACCAATACTACAGCTACTACCAATACTACTACCAGTACTACCGGTACTACTACCAGTACTACAACTACTACCAATACTACTACCAGTACTACAACTACTACCTGTACTACTACCGCTACTACGACTACTGCTATCAATACTACCGCCTCTATATCTACGAAAAATACTGCTACCCCTACAACTACCCGTCAATTACTACTACAACCACTACTCCAACTCAAGCGGGGGTGAGTCTGTGGGCAGTGTTGAGTCTATGGTGCAGTGTTGAGTCTATGGGCAGTCTTGAGTCTATGGTGCAGTGTTGAGTCTATGGGCAGTCTTGAGTCTATGGTGCAGTGTTGAGTCTATGGTGCAGTGTTGAGTCTATGGGCAGTCTTGAGTCTATGGTGCAGTGTTGAGTCTATGGGCAGTCTTGAGTCTATGGTGCAGTGTTGAGTCTATGGTGCAATGCTGAGTCTATGGGCAGTGTTGAATCTATGGGCAGTGTTGAGTCTATGGTGCAGTGTTGAGTCTATGGTGCAGTGCTGAGTCTATGGTGCAGTGTTGAGTCTATGGTGCGGTGCTGAGTCTATGGTGCAGTGCTGAGTCTATGGGTAGTGTTGAGTCTATGGGTAGTGTTGAATCTATGGGCAGTGTTGAGTCTGTGGGCAGTGTTGAGTCTATGGTGCAGTGTTGAGTCTGTGGGCAGTGTTGAGTCTATGGGCAGTGTTGAGTCTATGGTGCAGTGTTGAGTCTGTGGGCAGTGTTAAGTCTATGGGTAGTGTTGAGTCTATGGGCAGTGTTGAGTCTATGGGCAGTGTTGAGTCTATGGGTAGTGTTGAGTCTATGGGCATTGTTGAGTCTATGGGCAGTGTTGAGTCTATGGGGCTGAGTCTATGGGCAGTGTTGAGTCTATGGGCAGTGTTAAGTCTATGGGCATTGTTGAGTCTATGGGCATTGTTGAGTCTATGGGTAGTGTTGAGTCTATGGGGCTGAGTCTATGGGCAGTGTTGAGTCTATGGTGCGGTGCTGAGTCTATGGTGCAGTGCTGAGTCTATGGGTAGTGTTGAGTCTATGGGTAGTGTTGAATCTATGGGCAGTGTTGAGTCTGTGGGCAGTGTTGAGTCTATGGTGCAGTGTTGAGTCTGTGGGCAGTGTTGAGTCTATGGGCAGTGTTGAGTCTATGGTGCAGTGTTGAGTCTGTGGGCAGTGTTAAGTCTATGGGTAGTGTTGAGTCTATGGGCAGTGTTGAGTCTATGGGCAGTGTTGAGTCTATGGGTAGTGTTGAGTCTATGGGCATTGTTGAGTCTATGGGCAGTGTTGAGTCTATGGGGCTGATTCTATGGGCAGTGTTGAGTCTATGGGCAGTGTTAAGTCTATGGGCATTGTTGAGTCTATGGGCATTGTTGAGTCTATGGGCAGTGTTGAGTCTATGGGGCTGAGTCTATGGGCAGTGTTGAGTCTATGGGCAGTCTCGAGTCTATGGTGCAGTGTTGAGTCTATGGGGCAGTTTTGAGTCTATGGGCAGTGTTGAGTCTGTGGGCAGTGTTGAGTCTATGGTGCAGTGTTGAGTCTATGGTGCAGTGTTGAGTCTATGGGTAGTGTTGAGTCTATGGGTAGTGTTGAGTCTATGGGTGCAGTGTTGAGTCTATGGGTAGTGTTGAGTCTATGGGTAGTGTTGAGTCTATGGGCAGTGTTGAGTCTATGGGCAGTGTTGAGTCTATGGGCAGTCTTGAGTCTATGGTGCAGTGTTGAGTCTATGGGCAGTCTTGAGTCTATGGTGCAGTGTTGAGTCTATGGTGCAGTGTTGAGTCTATGGTGCAGTGTTGAGTCTATGGGCAGTCTTGAGTCTATGGTGCAGTGTTGAGTCTATGGGCAGTGTTGAGTCTATGGGTAGTGTTGAGTCTATGGGTAGTGTTGAATCTATGGGCAGTGTTGAGTCTATGGGCAGTGTTGAGTCTATGGGTAGTGTTGAGTCTATGGGTAGTGTTGAGTCTATGGGCAGTGTTGAGTCTATGGGCAGTGCTGAGTCTGTGGCAGTGTTGAGTCTATGGGTAGTGTTGAGTCTATGGGCAGTGTTGAATCTATGGGTTAGTGTTGAGTCTATGGGCAGTGTTGAGTCTATGGGCAGTGTTGAATCTATGGTAGTGTTGAGTCTATGGGCAGTGTTGAGTCTGTGGGCAGTGTTGAGTCTATGGTGCAGTGTTGAGTCTGTGGGCAGTGTTGAGTCTATGGGCAGTGTTGAGTCTGTGGGCAGTGTTAAGTCTATGGGTAGTGTTGAGTCTATGGGCAGTGTTGAGTCTGGGCATTGTTGAGTCTATGGGCAGTGTTGAGTCTATGGGGCTGAGTCTATGGGCAGTGTTGAGTCTATGGGCAGTGTTGAGTCTATGGTAGTGTTGAGTCTATGGTAGTGTTGAATCTATGGGCAGTGTTGAGTCTGTGGGCAGTGTTGAGTCTATGGGTAGTGTTGAGTCTATGGGTAGTGTTGAGTCTATGGGCAGTGTTGAGTCTATGGGTAGTGTTGAGTCTATGGGCAGTGTTGAGTCTGTGGATAGTGTTGAGTCTATGGGCAGTGCTGAGTCTGTGGGCAGTGTTGAGTCTATGGGTAGTGTTGAGTCTATGGGCAGTGTTGAGTCTATGGGCAGTGTTGAATCTATGGGCAGTGTT